AGGCAATTGTCGTTAATAGTTTTGCATTTGAAACCAATGCTTCTTTAATTATATGACTGTCAATAATGACACTTGTTTCTAGTTCCGGTGTAAGTTTGGAAACATGTACCTTTTCACAAGGTTCTTCACAGACTTCTAAACGACCACTAACTTCTTCAAGTATTTCAGCTTGTGCTTGGACAACTTTTCCTATTTCTTTTACAATTTTACTTTCTCGTTCTGACTCAGTTTCAGTTAAATCTGATTCGCTTTCTTGTGTAAGAGGTGACGGAGTTTTATGGTCAATAATAACTTTTTCACAGGGTGGTTCACAGACTGGAACAGGAATAGAAGGTTTGTCTTCCTTAACACTCTGCACAAGTTTGACCATCGATCTTTTCCTTGGAGTGATTTTCTCTTCTACTACTATTTGGTCTTCAATTCTTTGCGCGCATTCGCTTAATTCTTTTTCTGTGTAAATTCGGTCTTGATATGAAACAGTTTTCTTAGGTGTTCCTTCCTGAGACTTCGAAATTAATTCTTCAAATAACGCTCGTTTATCTCTGACTGACTTTACCTCGATTTCATCAGACTTGTCTGACACGTCGAGACCATTGGGAATAAGTTCGCCGTCAACGATAGGTTTGGCTTCAAGCTTAGCCTTGTCTTCTTTAATGACGACTTCCCGTTTTTCCTTGATTTTCGTTGATTTCAGAACTGGTCGTTTAGGTTCCTCCTCACTGTCCTCCAAATCACTAGACCCTGAAAAAATTTTCTGCAGCTCAGCGATTTTTCGACCTACCTGCTTCGTATGCGTTGACACTGCAGGCTTTGACTTGAACTCTGAATCATCAGAAACTGTTTCTGTTTTGTCGTAGTCATCATCAATTTGTGCTAGAGTTTCATTGGACCCTCGATAATCTTCATCTTTCATGCTGCTGATTTCGTCTTCGGAATCCAGAACTTCTTTCTTTCGCTTCATTGCATGTGAAGGTGATTTTATCGTTTGTTCCAATAACTTCACCTTGGCTTTAACATCGCCTGAACCCCTTCTGCTTTTCAGAATGTCTTCGTCTTTTAGTTTGTCGGATAGGGAAGGTGGACTTTCTTCGGGTTTAATAGGACTATTAGAGGCGTCTTTCGTGTCTATTTGGTCGGTAAGAGTCGCAGCTTCTGAGGTGTCGACTTGCGACAAGGCCATGGATGCGGATTCGGGGAATTCGATAGGACTAGTATTGGCGTCGACGAAATGGACTTCTTCCTCAAAGTAGGGTTCCTGAGGCAGACTCTCGTCGGCTTGGATCGGACTCAGACCGGCATCCGTGCATTCGAACTCTTCCAATTCCACATCTACGGCAGTGTCCGAGACAAAGCCTGTGGTTTGTAGACCATGTAGTACGTCGGGTGCTTTCGCAACAGGACTGGTGATTGTTTCGGTGGTACCTCGAGTTAGAGAAATTCCAGTATCGGTGACGTGGTGTGAGTAACTATCTTCTGTAGCTAACGAACCGGCATGCGAATCGTCTTTTTCGCTTAAATTATCGTAAGTATACACTAATTTAGTACCGCTAAAATTGACAGTTTCTTCGCGTTTCTTTTGGACAGTCTCTATGGCAGGAGGCGGTATGATGTAGTCAGACTTGTCTACAGGTCTCCCTCTTTTTTCGGTGGTATTTGTGACGCCTACGTCTACGGTTTCGGACGTCTCAACTCCCGATTCGTCTCTTCGCGTCGTGGTGACGGAGATGTGGGACTGCGATTTGATTGATATCTCGACGTCATTAGTACCATATAGGGTTAACCTACTTTCAGCCGTAGCCGAGGCTTCTTTCGTTCGAACTTCCTTGCGACCAATTACGAGTTCTAAGGTGGGGGTAGGATAAGTACCTTTGGGTACATTGGGGGTGGTATCCGGTGTGGGAGCGATCTCCTTATTGGTGAGAGGCGACGTACTTCTACTCACATGATTCGCGTACTCTTCGTTGTTATATTTATCACTTGTTTCCGTGTAATCCACGGCGATTTTTTTGTCAGGTGTGGTTTTTATTCGAAATTCTTCTTCGGAAGGAGGTATTTTTCCCTTGCCGCCTCCACCATGCAGTCTTTCCACAGTCTTTCGTTCCTTGCGTTCCCAGTCTTCCGGTTTCTTCGAATCTTTCGCACCCTTCTCCTCGGGCGACTGGAACCCTTTCAGTATTTTCAGTTCGCCCGGTCGCAGTACGGGATCAGATTCGATAATTCTATTACTTTCTAAATTAACACGAGCAATATCACGATTGGAAGGCAGATTATTGTCAATGGAAGGATTGGAACCGTCGACTTCTAAGTCTTCGGTTGAGGCTAGGCGTTTGCGCGGTCCCGCGAACAGTCGCGCTTGGTGTTGGTAGTACTGGCGAATGTCGTCGTACGGAGTCACTTCTTCGAGTTCGATATCTCCGGTCCGGTAATTCGACAAGTAATCTTTTCCTTCTATAGAGGGTTCTTCGCTTGGCGTTGGCGTTTCCAGCAAACACTGGTCTTCGCGGAAGCCGTCAGTGTCCAGCGAATCGTCGTCGTCTTGAGGCGACGCCGACGCTACTGTCGCAAGGAACAAAATAAAAGGAGGTTGTCGGTGGAAAATCAGTGTTTAATCTGTCCCAAGTGCAACAGGATTCTCACAATATTTTATCAAATTTGGTAATTTGTATTTCAGAAAATAAATCATGGCAAGAGGCACCGCCTCGACTCCCACACAAATCATGAGATGAGTGACGGAAAAGATGTGTTTCGGGTAGTTGAGGAGAAAGGAACGAGGAAACGACAGCTAAAAGTCGAATAATATAAAAGCCGGCTAAGGCATTCCACATTTCCATAAGCTTTCTACTTTGTTATTGTAGTAAAAGAATTTATCAACAGTATAAACAGCATAATTCCGAAAGCATAGATGCCAACAATGTAATAACAAGTTAAAAAAAATGCCCAAACTAGCAAACGGGAGATCGGAACGAATTAAATAAAAACCCGCGGCGGTCTCTGTACATTTAATTAGTCCGGATACTTCCCAAATAAAAGGAAAAATAAAACTAACCAAAAATCACTAACCTTGGTATAGCCTTTGCTACACGAAGCCCGAGGCCGCGAAAAGACCCAATACGTCACACAATCTGTTTCGCCCTCACCATTTCTCGACACCAAATCGAACAAGAACTTAATAAAACAGAAAGAAAAAGGCGCCACGAGAAGTGGTAAGAGTGAACATGCACAATATGTACAACCACTTTTAGTCCCTATCAGATTCATGGAGTTTGCATTATGGTTTACCAAGCCAACAAACAGGAGACAATTGGACGGACGGCGTGACAGAAGAAGGAGGATGTCTATGGACGATTTTTAATATTTCGTTTCAAAATACTCTCGCAATTACTACCATCGAACAACATCCGAGTATTTTGAAATGATTTATTTATAATGTCTTTTTTTTTTCAAACAAAAATGGATGTAGTGTGTATGAAATGGTAACACAGATCACACTTAGCTGTATCGGATAGTAATTACAAAACTATTCAAAGTTATATACATATCTACAAAACGTAGAAATAAACAAACTGAAAATCAAACGTCGTATCGAATACAACTAAATGATGGGAACAGTTTTTGTCCAAACCCTCCACCAAGTCAATAGGTGCGGTTTGAAAAAAGCTGTCCAACGAACTCGAAAGATTCACACATCGACACGTCCAAAACATTACAGTTTAGAAGTTTTTTATTTGGTCCTTAAAACTCAAAAGCCATGCGGCATGAGGTGTGTGAAAGACGCTCATTTCGTTCTACATTTGCCAAACTGAAAGTTAACAAAACAACTGAAATGAAATAAGCGGCCACTGCTATATACAAAGGCTTGGCATGAAAGCTTGTGTGTGTATTAGAAGCAATAAAATGAAAAAACGGAAACGTTATGGAAAAATAAAACACTGACGCCCACACAGATGATTTATTTTCTGCAATATTTGTTAGAAAAGGGGGCCAATTCTAGTTAATCGTCCAAGGTATTGTTATTTACTTGTTTAGTAATTAATACTGTTTAATAGGCAAAAGCTTGTTGCACCAAAGCATTGTTGCACATACAGTAATGTATTAAATTCTTGTTTGTTAATCTTGTGTGTATTGTCGACGAAAACGAGACGATTTTGCTATCATCACTGAAAAATCGTCGCATTGTCGTCAAAAAGGTCAGGTAATCCATATTATAGGAAGGTGGGGCTTAGGCAAGGAACGAATTACTATTTCATTTTCTTGTGAAAACATTTTGTTATAACAAGATTGAGAAACAAATCAGAAAAGCATATTGTCAAACATTTTTTCGCTACTACCAACATAAATTCTAACTTGTTTAACCAACTGCAAACTCCATATTAATGTGGCATATCAATAGGACACATGACGTTAGTTCAGAGCATGAGAGCAATATTAAAAAAAAATTGTACTCACCCCCGCTGAAATAAAAAAATATTAGTCGAAATAACGAACCAGCGACACGAACGATCGCGACGTACTAAACAATTTCTTTCGATAAATACGACATGTGAACTAAATAGATTTAGAAGCCATACGATATCCAAGGATCAAAAAATAGTCACGGTCTCGAACTTCCACTTCTGTGTCATCGATACGATCGTCACAATTCAGTTAATTAGATTTAGTTTCCACCAGCAATAAACAACTTAATACAAAATTTTTACATATCGAAACAATGCAAAATTTTCGATTCAATACAAACACAACACGTCTTTTTTGTCGTAATTCTAGAAAAGATTACGAGCATTGTAGGTTTTCTGACCTCGTTAGAACATGTGTCATAATACGATTAACTCTCCATAATTGATATGCCACATTTTGTGCAGGAAATATTCTTCACTGGTTTGTTCTTTCCACTGATTTTAAATAAACAAAAATGGGTTGAATATTTCTTGCACAACAACTACTAATAAGCGCTGCTTTGAAATTTCAAGCTAGGTGTCTGAATTGGATTTGTGAATTCCTACCTTGGATTGCGGCTGCCTGTTCTTTGGTTATGAAGTCGGCAGGACTCGGTGGTGGAGTCTTCGATACTTTTGGCGATTTTGGATCTGCAAGTGTAATCACAACATATAACGCTTCATATGCTCATTTTTACAAAAATAAGGCACTTCCAATAGATAGAGAGATATCTTTGAAACGCCACATAAATGTAGGTCACTCTTTTAAATTTTCTACGAGTAGTACAATTGAACCAGCTGACGTAATGGTCAACTAGAGCAGATATTTTAAAAATCGCCCGATACAATGTGGATTCATATGTATTTACATAAAGTATTTAAATATTTACAAGGAAACTGTTTTAAAAATATAAAATTAGGTTCTGGTGAAACATGTCCAACATCATCAGGTTAAAACAGCCCTGAAACTAAGTCATTTTATAGTATTTTAAGTACAGTGTAACAGTAGTCTTTTGTAACCCCACACCTGCCTTAACGTTTCCGAAGTACAGTTAATAAGACACATATTTTTATTATTATTATATTGCTTTTATTTATTTCTCGAGGAATAATAATTTAAATAATTACATTAAGAGGGTAATTTTTAGGAGTGTCTTAGCAACACTAATGAGATATTCCCATTAAGCGGGTGGCAAGAAATTCACTTATTCAGGTTTAACTCATATTTTAATCATGATATATTTAAAGTTTGACATTTTAATTTAAGTACTTAATTACATTAATCACATTCCATGACTTCTGACTCAAGATTTATAAAATAGTTGATCCATTTTGAAAGACAAGACCTTGAAAATTTCATCAATTAAATTAATATCATCGTGGACTCGAAAACCGAAGGCGGTTTAATTTTTTCTTACAAGTTTAATGTTTTCTCACAGATTTAATTATTTTCTTACAGACTGAATTTAAACATTTATTCCCAAATTACTATTTTGATTTTGACCGTATGTAATTTTATTAGTATCTACTAAGATAAAACTGATTTTGACAAATGACCTACTCTCTAAGAAAATGAAGGATAGAGGCTATATCATCTGGCAAAATCAGTCTTATCTAGGCAAGTATTAGCCCTGCCCACCCGCCCTTTATTTTCTTCAAGGATATGACATCTGCCAAATTCAGTCTTATTTTGGCAAGTACTACTCCCACCGTCCTCCCTTTATTTTCTTAAAGGGTATGTTATTTGGCAATATCAGCCTTATCTTGGCAAACAGTAGCTCCACCCACCCGCCCTTTTTCTTAGGGGGCTAGTACTTCCTAAGATAATACTAATTTTAGCAAATGACATATTTGCTAAGAAAAGAGAGGGTGGGTGGGCGAGGCTAGTTCCTGCTAAGATAAGACTTAATTTGAAAAATGACATACCCTTTAGAAAAGGGAGGGCGGGTGGGCGGGGCTAGGACCTACTAAGATAAAACTGATTTTTGCAAATGAGCTACTCTCTAAGAAAATGAAGGATAGAGGCTATATCATCTGGCAAAATCAGTCTTATCTAAGCAAGTATTAGCCCCGCCCACCCACCCTTTATTTTCTTCAAGGATATGACATCTGCCAAAATCAGTCTTATTTTGGCAAGTACTAGCCCCACCCTCCCTCCTTTTCTTTTCTTAAAGGGTATGTTATTTGGCAAAATCCGTCTTATCTTGGCAAGTATTGGCCCCGCCCACCCACCCTTTGTTTTCTTCAAGGGTATGCAATTTGGTAATATCAGCCTTATATTGGCAAGCACTAGGCCCACCCACCCGCCCTTTATTTTCTTCGAGGGCTGGTACCTGCTAAGATAATACTGATTTTGGGAAATGACATACACTCTAAGAAAAATGAGGGCGGGCGGGTGGGGCTAGTACTGCCAAGATAAGACTAATTTTGGCAGATGACATACCCTCTAAGAAAAAAGAGGGCGGGTGGGTGGGGCTAGTACCTGCTAAGAGAAGACTGATTTTGGCAGATGACCTACCCTCTAAGAAAAGAGAGGGTGGGTGGGCGGGGCTAATACCTGCTAAGATGTGTTTGTTGCATATGTGCTTTCTTTTATTCGGTATGGAGATTTGTCCAGTCCACGATCTAATTATTTATTTTAGTTTAACATTATAAATTCAGGAAATATAGGATTTGGATTTTATTGAAATTAAAGCACAACATTGCCCGGCGAAATCGGAACACATGATTTATAATGTGGTGACCAAATGAATTAAAATGTCGCGCTGAAAAAAAATTACAGTGGCGCGAAATCGCATTTGAATAATTTGAATTTGAAAAAAAAATTAATCAAGAAAATCGCTAAACATAGGCAACCATGTGCACGTTTAGTTCTTTCTGGTAGCTGGTAGTTTTGCTAGGGAATTTTAGTTAGAGGGTTGGTAGAAGTTGGCTGGTTTGGTAGATGAGTCATTCTGTGCGGTGGCGTCACTTTTGGTTTGTTTGTTGTGAGTGCAACTACGTGGTGAGTTAGCTAGGTTAAGTTTAGTTGGTTTGATAGTTAATAAAAAAGGAAGAGCCTTTGTTTAACGAAAATTAATCGTAACGATGACGACGCCACAGTTTTCACAAGAGGCGTAGCTAATTCTTGCCGTTTTTTTTTCAAGCGGAAATGGGCGAATTTTCGACCGACGCTAACACGTTGTGTAAATTTGTTTTATTGTTTATAAATTCACAGTTCATGTTAGGATTTTTAATCGTTAACTAGTTCTAACACAATTTAACAGTCAGGAATTTGTTTACATCAAGTACTTGCTAGGAGATTTCATGAAATTCACTTAATCAGGACGCGCCCTTTGTTTATCGAGTTATGAATAAGGTTTCTGGATGCTTATACTTAAATGTTAGATTAAAACACTTCTTAATTCCCCACACAAGATTGCTAATAGTTTATTTACGGCAGTTAAATCAATCTAACGTTGCCCCACTCTAGGAAAAGACCATGAAAGTGCGGTAGAATTCATAATATCGTGGACTGAATTACGGGGGGATTAAAAATTTCTGTCTTTAGGTAATTATTATCATATCATCATTTTCTCGCAACGTGGAAAGCTATAACCGAGACATATTTTCTCGCAACGTCTGATGCATTTTGTGTTTATTTATCATGTGTTTTGTCTGGGATAAGCTGGGGACAGTTCACGATATAAACACTCAAAGCTAATTGTTTTAAGTAACTGATCACTTGGATAATGGCATAATTGTTTGAATCGTTGAAAAAGTGTGGCATAATTTAACATAATGAAAATTTTTTGTTTGAATTTTTGATAAAGTGTGGCATAATTTAACATCAGTTACATTCTTTGTTTTAACAGCGGCCATGTTGAAAGAGTATTTGCAAACCGAGTACATATTTGAACTGTAAAATCTCGTTAAACAAATTAACAACATTGTGGGTCAGGTGGGAAGTGCATTTTATTCCTTTGATTTAGACCATTATTTGCTGAGCGCCACAGAATTGATCACATTTCTGGGAGACATATTTTTTGATGTATTTTTTTTGAACGACGCATTCGTCCGACGCCATTTTGAACCTCCAGATTGCCCGCTATATTTTTGTATGTGTTTGTTTGAGGAATGTAAAACGATGGCCCACAATGCAGCTGAATAACTTCACTTTTAAAAAATTAACCAATAACTCAAATGGACAAAATATTAGACTCATATAATTTTGTTAGCTTTGCAATTTTTCTATCTCACAATTTTAGCCTCAGTAATTTTCTTTGCTACATAATTTTAATTGAACGTTAATTTTCATGCTCTGCAGTTCCGAACCTCACGTAATTTTTGTCTGCACAAGTTTTACTTCACACCAGATTGTTTTTTTTCCTTTGTTTTATAAATCTTTGCTAGTTTTTTTTTTGTCAATATTTTGTTGATTAATGTTTGCATCATATCAATTATCTGATGTCCAATCTTAATCTCAATTAAGAATTATTTGCTGTTTTAATTTCACGAGCGTGAATTGCGAATTCAAATGTTGTTTATTGCTCTTTTTTGAAACTTTAACACTTGTTCGGTTGTAGTTTAATATTAACGTCATAGAAATTGAACATTTATATGGTATTGAGGTAAATAATGCAATAACACGTAGCGGAAGTGGAGTGCGCGGTTCCTTGTCGAGCTGGCGCCATGTAGGATGCAGGCCTAGAATAGAACTCAGGGGAGCGGTCGGGATGACGTGACGCTGTCGGCTTCTGTCCGTAGCCGGAACCCAACCGTGAGTTTGCGTGCGGCAGTGCTTGCGATAGATAGAATCAACGTCGTGCGTAGGAGAACAGCCACGACCAGGAGCCCCAAACTCCGCTCGTGCTACAACGCCCCCTATGGGTAATTCTACTGTGCTCTAGAAGGAAACTGAAATAGTTCGATCGCCACACTTTTATAGCACTCTGGTGCCACTGCCTCTGCATAGTTTTTTTTATTAAAATTTTATTCTCGTGTTGACTGCCATAATTTTAAATTTACCGCCACACGCCCGTAATAACTTGTGTATTTGCATCCAGTTACTTTACTTCAGATTTTGATTTGGACTTTTCCAACCTTGCATCGGATTACATTCCACTACAAAAAAAGACACATAATGTAGGTTCCATTTTGTTAAGCGATCACAGCCAAGGCTAAATTTTTGAGTTTTTCGCGCCCTTTCAATTTTTTTTCCGCATGTCATTTTAAGGCGAAATGTTTGGGTTATCACACCAGCTTTTGACAGACAGTAGTCAGCTTTGTTTTTAAATTGCATTGTATATTTTTTGTTTGTTTTTGTAGAGATTTGTTTTTAAAATACGAATGCGTACGATTTTTTTATTTTAGGGGAAAAATTAAGGAATAAAGAAGTTGTTCTAAATTCTGCTGCGTTCAGTACAATATTGAGTGATTGCCAAAATTACTGTACTGTAGACTGTTTGTACTGGGCTATTGATTTAATGAAAGAGTTTTTAACCATCGCACACTGTAGTAAAAAAAACTGTATTGTATACAGTGCGTTGAAAAGTGTCAGAAACTTAAAAACAACCGAAAGGTCCAATAGACACACGAAGTTTGACTTAATCACAGAATTGCTGTACCTTAAACATGATGTGTTGAACATATTTGTTGCACTAATTTTAAACCAGGTTAACCGACAATATTCATGAACATTCTGAATTCTAAAGTCCTTCAACTTTTTAAAATTCCACGAGTTTTTGAGACACGAAGTAAGGTATCATATAACCTCAAAATCACAAGTTATCATTTAAAAAAAATGTTCAAAAATAGCTTCATTCCAAAAAATACTGGAGGCACATTTGGAATATAACTATAATACCTTCAATTTCCAATCAAAACGTTGTCAAATTCAAACAAAATGTAAATACGATGCCGCATTTTACAATGACCTGAAAAATTTTCCGACTTACCTTCTGTCGAGATAATTTTCTTCACCATTTTCTGTTCTAACCTGTGCGTTACACCTTCCAACAATTCAGAGTCCCGTCTGTCTCCATCCACCATCACCTTTTCAATAACCGGCGAGATCGTCACTTCGTTCGATGTTATTGTGGTTTTTTGTCCGTCAACGACCTCCCCGGCTTTTAATTCGACTTCTGCTATTTTGTTCTCTACCAAGCTCTGTCGTTTGATAGAACTGATTTCCTGGACAATTTCGACACGTTGCGAAGACGCCGGAACTGTCCTATCGACAGAAAGTCGTTCCTCGATCTGATGCCGTCTTTCCGTCACAGTCTTATTAAAGTCTTCGTCTTCCTCTTCCTCGTCTTCAGACGTCTCTTCGACGATCTTTTCCTCGGCGGAGTACTTGTCGAAATTCTCCTTTTTCTTTTCTTCTTCGGCTTTTTTCAGCGACTCGACGCTGTCTGAGTCTTTCATGATGTCTTTTTCGTAGAGGTTTTCTTCTAATTTCTTTATCAGTCTCTGTTTTCCTATCTCCTTGATCCCGTGAGGAGGATAATCGACGTTTAGGCACTGAGGTATGATGTCCTCCCTTCCTATTCTCCTAAGCGCACTTTCTAGGGTGTTGGTTTGGGCTTTGTTACCCGACTGCGACAGCCACATTCTCAACATCGACTGAGCTTGCTTGGCGACGCTGTCGGGGTATTCGGATTTGATTACGTTGATTTCTGAGGTGGTTAGACCTAATTGAGCCGCCAAAGGCACCCAGTCGTCACCTAAGAGGTTGCTCATGTCCGCTAACCGCGGGTCCGGCCTATAACAACAAAATTCATACAATAAACTTACCAAAAACACTCTATCACTAAAATTAATAACAATGACCCCGCCTTACCTGTAATAATCGAAGTTCTCGATCTTCTTCACAGAATCGCTATCAGTCAAGGAGATGGTATCGACCACGATGTCATCCGGCAGCACGATGTTCAATATACAGATCGGCTGCTGCGGAGGCTCCCCTTTGGGCAGCTTCGGCTCCCTCATGAACAAGCACCGACTGACCGCCTCCGCGTGCTGGTCTTTCACCCGCACCGAAAACGGCAGCCGGTTTTCTCTGAAAGCCCTGAACGAGAATTGTAGTTGTTCGCCGCTCTTGGTGATGGGCACCAGGTTGCCGGCGAACTCGATGTACTGCGGCTTACCCTCGAGCACCTCCACGTCGCGGCTCTTCGCCACCTCCGTGAAGTGCTCCTGGTGCTCGAGGGTCTTGTCTTCTTTGTCGTCGGTCATGCAGAAGACGCGTAACCGCGCCTCCAGGGGGTCGACACGCTTGGCGAACACGACAAATTTTGCCATGAACGGGACATGGATGGCTTCCCTGGGGAAACAGAAGAGTATAGTATGGTGTGATAAGGTAGCAAGGTGGATATTTATATAAAGTGGTATCATTTAAAGTCAACAACAACCGACATCACTTTTTGATAAATTGATAATTATCACAGATATATTGGAAAAAAAAAGACAATTAGGAGCTAAAAACTTACAGCATTCAATGTTTAATCACATTACAATTTCCCGCGGCACCGTCATTGTTAAATTTAAGGATTTGACCATAGGATTTGACTTTATGACATAATACGACTCATAATATAATTATATGACGTAATCTGACATAAAATGGCAGTGACGCTTACTTGATAATATACATGGGTCATCAAAATTGATTGAGAGAGTTGGTACCCCCTGTTTTTGTCGTGAAGTTTGTCAACCTTATGACAGATTTGTTTAAGGTTATATGGCAATGAATTCAGTGGCGTGACAAAAATTCGAAACTTCAAATCTGACAACTAATGTTTTTACAAAAAAAAAGTCGAAAAAAGACGCCACTGAGTTTTTAAATTTGAAACTTGAAACTTCAAATCTGACAGCTAATATTTTTATACAACTTAATAAACCAAATTATTCAAGTTCAGGTTTACCAACTCTCTCAATCAATTTTGATGACTCTGTACATCTTTGTTAAAGTTTATGGGGAAAGACTAGAAAAACTGAAACTTGTTTTTTCAAGAAAATTTGAACTATTATGAATTATTTTATTAACATTCTTATCCTAATGCCACATAAAATGAACATAGCCAAAGATAGTTTTGGGAAATCTGCTACTGCATTTTTAACAATAATAATTTTCCGTTTCATTGACATTGGTCATTCGATCTGAATTAGTGGTTGCCTATTTGTCAAGCAGTAGACATTTTGAAAAAACCAAAGATCTTTTATGTCTAGACGGAACACAACGCTCATTTGTAACAGAGATAAATAGACTTTCTGTTCGTACCGTGTTCGCACACATTCGTGAATGGACGAGTTTGAGTCATTTTCCTGTTATTTTGAGAATTTTAGTGTCAAAAATAGGAAAACTAAAAAAAATACGATTAGGTGTTTCACAGTTTATGACAGCGAAATGACATTGACATCCAAGATTTTCTGACCGTGATTGTAGATATTATTGCTGCCAAAATATTTTAAAACAAGCTTGCATTATGAAGAAAAAAGTCTACTAACCAAACAAATTTTGTTTAAAAACCAACTGTATGTTATGTCTAGTATTTCCAATATCTTTGGAAAAGTTCTACGAAAATTAGGTTATGAATGATATTTGTGGATTTGTGACAGGCGACGACATCAATCATCACAACGAAGCGGCAAAATTCACGAAATTTCAAAGGTCACTTCATGTACCATCGTTTATATTCACCCTATACTTTATTATGTTAAAATTGATACTTCAAAATTGATTTCATCATAATAGTAATATCTCACTATATTGACAAGTTAACAAACAATTAATCGTACTTTAAGTAGTGTTACAATAAACAGGAAGATGGAAATTACCTTGTTAAGTTGAATTATGGTTGAAGTTACATACTTTACTTACAGACAGACTCAGCATTTCGTTCTTTATTTCATAACAATAAAAATGACAAATAGGGTTATGGTACGTGAGCCTAAGTTGTACACAAAATCTTTCGGTGACACATTATTTTGGATGAATTGACTATACATACATTCACCAATCACAATATATATATCTACACTCAATGCAGGAATAAATTTGCTCACAAACATAGGAACGAATGTAGACCTACAATAATTCTTTTAAAATTTGAACCGGCAATCTTATAACTATAGAGTTAGGTAGCTGCAAATTGAAAAAAATAAAAATTGCTTGTTGACATTTCGCAACTGTTCAACATTTTTTTGTATTTAGGAAAATTTGTTCGTTTTATTTATGCGGTTCAGCTTTTACAAAATGCCATTACTAATTATCATAGTAATATTGGTTATTACAAAATTGTTGTGGACGTAGATGGCTATGAAAATTCTAAATAAAATTAGCAGTACATCATGTTAAAATTATGAAATTCTTTGTTGACATTTCAGTTGTCTCTTCAGAAACACGTGTATCATCTTTATTGTTTTGCTTATTTTACTATTTTTACTAATTTAACAATTTAAGCGTAGTTATTATCACCAGCTGCTTTCTTTAAATCATAACCTCAAACTGATAAAATTGATATCTATTTAATTTTTTGTTACTAAATCTGGGCTGGGTTTGCACAATCATTGCCTACTGCGTCGAAAACCATTTTGAAATGTTATATAATTTCTGATTTATTTTTTGTATGACAATATTTGTCCTAAAAGAAGTAGAACGTTCAAACGTCATTCTCCTAAATAGAGCTTTCCTTAAAAAATGGTGGCAAATTAAACTAATATTTTGTATGTATAATTTTAATAAGATATGTACTTCTCAGGAATATTCAATTTAAAATGGATCATACTGTGGTGTCCCAAATTGAAATATTGAATTTACGGCCGAGAAGAAAATCACCCAATTCGCATTCGTAGCCGAATTTAGACTCTCGATTTGAGGTAGGGGTTTTGGAATCCGGAGTAGGCAGAAAATCAAAATGAATCGCATTCGATGCCACAGCCCACCTCAACCAGTGTAATTAATGTAATATCAGTGTAACAATGATTTTCCAAACTGAAATGTGCAAAACTTCGACTATATTATTTTTCAAAATGGGCGCGAAGGTCAAGGACACGCAAAACCCAAAAATTTACTCTTAACTGTGTATGTTAGTATTTTTTTACACCTCCTTATTTTACTTTATCGACAATGCAATAGTGACTGATCTGTCAGTTGAGACGTCAAGAACCGTATTAAATTTGAATCGTTTCTATGAGCGCGTTCTATCGCAATATTTATGATAGATTATGTTCTTACGAAGTGGAGAAGTTAAAAGAACAACTTAAAAGCACCCAGCAGAGATCCTAAAAGAACAGATTTATAAATATGTCTAGGGTAAATGCTATGGCAGTGACGAGAGCAAGAGGAATTATCCACCTATTTTTCAATATTCCTACCACTGTCAGTATTTTCCAATTGAACTGGCGTGGGAACAGTGTAAACTATATTGCAATAAATATATTCGGGAAGACGGTGGCGCTATTGGTGTTGTACAGTCCTTATGGCTTGAGGCTCTTGCTAGAGTAGGTGCAGACAAATGGCAAAATATTATTAGACATTGTGAACGGCTGATCATGGATGATTGGAAGCGTTTAATGGGGTAATGCACCATATGAAGACATACCACCAATCATAATTTCTCTCGATTCTGATTCTGATTCTGAATCAGAATGTTTTTCTAATAACTTGTCAGCTTGTCACTTTTTCATTTGGCATTTAATGTCAACAACAATCAGCATTAAGCCCTCAATGCAAACGGCTCTAAAGGCTTTGCTATGTACAGCAGCAGTGTTGAAACATGAGAGTGAAAGCAATGTAAATTCTGTGTTTTCTGTTATATAACATACTATTTAGTTACATTTTCTTTCGTTTACAACATTATAGACGAGTACAACACAAATGTACAACAAAACGTGTTGTTTACTGTAACGTCCGCGACCCTACAGTTTTGCAAGGGTTGTGATCTCCGCTAACTACACTGGTAAGTTGTCGACCTTGAAATTTGCTTAAATTTTGAAAAATAATATATTCGACAACACGTGTTATTTTTGTTTTATTTTCTATAAATCCACTTAGGATTTTTTAATTGCAAATATTTACATAAAACACGTGGCAAACTCAGGCTTCGCTTTTTTTGTTTATCACGATGTATATATTTAAGGTTCTGGATAACATTACAACTCGAGATTTATTTCATTTTGTGGCAGTTAATGTAATCTGAAACGCTGATCCATTTTCAGAGAAAGGACCTTGAAAATTATCATCAGTTAAATTAATATCTCCGTGGACTCGTAATGGGAGGTGCATTGTTATATTTATTTAGTATTATACAGAGTGATTCAAAAATGGCACGTTAACTCAACAGCCCAAACGTTAATTTGACGTTTACTTACAAAAACAGAGTAACAATTTGGATAGACAGATTAACAAATGTGAAAAATTAGCCACTGTTGTCAGATTCATTTGCACATTTTTTAAATATTCTTATAATGTTATTAAATAAATAAAATTATTATTCTGAGTAATGAAATTTCGATCGATTTCATGTACCCGTCAACAATAAGTAAATAGTGAATATGGTTAAAATTCTAAATTAAATTTTGAACGAACATCTATGGTACCGCGTGATCAGAAATAACTGTTGGTAGTATTTCCTAAATAAAAATATAAACTTTTCTTGCGTTTATGTTGATATTATCGAAGTAACTTTGTGACAGATACCTCAATCGTAACGTAAACTTAAGTTATGGTTTGGATACAATTTTGCAAATTTAAAAATGTCAACATTCTGTCAATCTGTACAGCCGACAACCGAAAATTATAGAAAACATCATGACGCCAATTTTAGGAGTGCCAACATTTCTGATCATGCGGTACAGTTGGGCACAAGGATTTTGCTAATTATTTTTTTCTTAGCTCAATAAACAGTCCTTAACAGCGTGTCATAAAGTTGAATCACTCTGTATTAATGTGTTATTTCCTCACATCCGAATTGTTTTCATTTAGGCAGACAATCTGATTGATCGTGTAAGGGCAAGATTTATGGATTGACGAATATGACTGAAGGAATGACAATCTGATTGATTCAATCACATTGTCATTTTTACCGTGTAGGGTGCTCATTGCAGCTTGATGAAGTAATTTTGATTTAATCTTTAACTTAATTAAATTAATCTTGCTTGTTCCTGTCTTGTAATTATAATACTTATTTTACTATCGTCAAAATTCAGGAGATGTTAACTTTAACTGAAATGAAAGCACGGGACCGCGTGAGAGAGCTTTGACTGTCATTGTCGTTTTCACGTGAATGTTTATCTGCAATAGCGGATTTTCGACGGAAGTAGGCTTCAGGAATGCGATTGTTTAAAACACGTAGCATATGTTGTGGTTATGGTTAGGGCAAATAGACCTCCACGAGGAGACGCCCTTCGCACCGCTGTCGCTATGCGCCCCCGCGCTGCGTTTAAATCTGGCGCCACGCCATCGTAATATCTTACGTATTACTTTTCAGTTGCTCTAAGTAAGATTCCCTAGTTATTTTGTCCCTGTTAACCCTCTGAGATAGACTTAATGAAAAACAAGGTGCCCAAAATCGAAATTAGAAAGTTAGGAAAAATTTTTTTGAAAGTAGACTTAGAATCCGCTACAGATAAATAAAAGTTGTCGTTACTTACCTATATAGTTCAGTGGCCATTTTCGTCGCATCGCCAACGTTTCGACAGTCCATCAGCCAAAACCTCGCCGACACCGTCGTCGTAAACGACACACAGTCATTGACAAAGGTCAGTGGCGTGGACCCCGTAACATCCTCCCATTGTGCTCTCGTCGTGCCGCCTTAAAAGGAAAGATCTGACTTATACCAAGATCTTGGAAAACATTGCACCTTCCGAGCGTCATACCAAAAGTGCGGATCAGAGTTGTTCCGACATTTGGTGACTAGTTCGAATGACTCGCCCCCATCCTCATGACATAACAAATACATAACACTAGGAGCATGCATATCCGGACGTCTCGTACGCGTGATCGACCATCATCAAGACAAGATACAGTAGCAACAAGCGTTTTACATTCAGGCACTTGACGGTTTATGACCATTGTCTTGGCAAAAGTGGAAGCAAATGCAGTGGTTTGAAGCGGCAAAAAGCAAAGCATTCATACGAACGGTTTCAGAAAAGACCAGTCGCGTGGCAACTAACTTCCGGTATTAAATTAAACTTATCGGACAGTGTCTGGAGGTCATGTTTTATTGGTTTCTCTACGACTGATCTGACGCCTTATATTATAGGGTTATCGAAACGAAAATAATCGTTAATTAAGAGAAAATCATCGGTTGTAATGTAACCAAGAAAATAAATGAAATGCAGCAAATCTATATAAGGTGAAAATTGCGATTCGTGTTTTTGTGAATTTTTAAAAATAAAATTGAAAAAATAAACAGTATTAACGACTAAAAGGCAAAAGAAAATTTATAATAATAAGTCCTTAAATTTCATAAAAGACGTGGATGCGCACGATTTCCCAACTTGCTGCGATTTGAATTTCAAAGTTTCCCCCGCCGTTGTTGCCAAATCGTACACGTCCCTCGCCTCGTTCACATTCCTAACGAAAAATGTTTCGATTTATAAAGAACAGAAACGAAAATCAAAACTTTTAAAAAATAGATATAGATATACATTCTAAAAGGGGGGCAGCCCACAATATAGTTAGTTACCTTTGAGAGATCTTTTCCGAAACACCCCTGGACACGCGCGTGAAATATCAATATTAGCGCATTAGTTTGACTGTTTGGAGTGACACTTGTGACGTCATCATGACGAATACACACTGCTTTTGAACGCGCTCGTTAGGATGATGGGAACTGGGTTGTGACGACGTCACAATGACGTCAGCTGGAAAAATTACGAGGCTGGCAAACTTTTCAACATCGTTGGGAAACGTGTATATGTACGACAACACCCCACTTTAGCAGACGGAATTTTATCTCTTAACAAATGATACTTCTTTTTTACACCTACTGGTATTCCAAGAACTTCATGTCGACCATATCTACACGTGGACCTGCTTTGTATTAACACTGAAGGACAAAAGAATTAGCAAAAGGAACGCATGCTCATTGGATAGCCGAACGGAATGATCCAATTAAGCATGGAATGAATGCTTCTATGACGAAATCCTTTTATCCATATTAGGAGTCAATACAAAAGTCTACAACATCGATGCAGCACGCAGAGACAAATTAAATACTTTTGATTTGACACTGGTGAATTTCCTGGAACATCGCCTTCTAATACTGACATGATACAGGATGATATCTGAATTTCTAAGCATCTTTATTGTACATGCTTCATAAGTACTAATCTAATTAAATACAGTACCTATATCTATAAAAAAATTTAGTCTACTTACAGCTATCTACGTAATAGCTACCGTAAAACATAAGCTTGCCAACCCCTTAACGACAAAAACAATTTACAAAAAATACATAGGGCACAACACAACAGTAAGACATCATATTTCAATGGAAAACTAGAAACAAAAAACCAAAAACGAGTCGGTGATAACATGACCAAAGAGGTCCATTGATTAGAGTTGACAAATGAAAACAACAAAAACAACAAAAACAAAATAAACCATAATTAAAGCCAGCTTTTGAGAGCTTAGCTTTAGCAGCAAAAATCACGTTGATTAGTATATCTTAGTAAGAAAAATTCTAGCTAGTACCTGTTATAGAGCAGAGAAGTCGTAAAGTGGGTGCGTTTCCTGAATACTGATTGATCATCCCTTGAGAGTGCGCCCTCGGTGCCGGCATACTCAGCGTGATGGCCTTATGGAACTTTCGTCTTCTGGGTTCGACGGTCACGACGGGCGAAACCGCCACTCCGTGTCCCAGAAGTTTGGCTGTCAATTCTGGATCTATTGGTTGTGCCTAAGATGCGAGAACACAGTGACGAATTTCTTGTGGGACTCGCTCGGGCGGTTGTAAGAAATGCACAAGCTCACTTACCTTCAAAGAAAGGGACTTAGGGAAGGGTAATGCGACAAAGCAAGGTTCGACAGCAAACATAACACAAAAAATAATGTCAAAAAAGTGCAACAACAATGAAGAAAATGGAGGAGTGTCTGAAGCGGTTGAGCTGAGAGCCCAATAACGATAGCGTGTGCGATTCGAACCGTGCTTTGTTCGCGGAATTTTTGAACACGTCGGGTGCCCAAAAATTCGACTTGAGCCAATGAAAAAGTTAGTTGTGGTTAGTTTTAACTCAACTTTATTGGGCACTCACACTGTATACAAATTTAGTGACTGAAAAGTTGACAATAATGAGAAAAAACATACATGACATGACTTAGAATTAAGCACGAAATTAATGAGAATTAAAAAACGAAACGAAGATGCGGGCAAGGATGCGAAATGTTACAACAATTATGGTATGTTAGGGGCATTCGCACAACCAACAAGACATTGTAACCGCTTTAGATCAACCAAATACGAATGGCCCCATCCCTAAATAATCTCTCCTAAATCTACTATAATAGGTATACATCGTCAGGTGTTCGTCGTGTTCAAAACAATCATAACAAATAGTGATATGGAGCGCTATTAGAAAAAATCGGTAACGGTGCCTCCATTATCAATATTAAAAAACTTAAATGCATTTTTTTAAATAGCGCTCAATTTCGGTCACCACGAAAGCTGATGTAGAAACATACGGTATTTGTAGCATTATACGACTCTCTGATAATTGCACTGAAAGACAATTGTCATGAGTTTTGTCCAATATTCTTCACAAAATGTACAGATTTCACAAAATATAGCATATAACATTACTAGAAATTTTACAAATTTTTTAAAATTTGAAATTTCTTTAACTCTATTAACTGGCACATTATACAGCCCATATTTAATACTTTTATTAGTAAAATACAGTTTCAAAACGACATAAGCTGGATTTTTGTACAGTTAAGCCGACTGCAAGAGTAAGTTATTTTGCAACATTTATGTGCCCATGTATTTTGAAAACGAGTACGTAGATTATGTTCAGATTTTAAAGATTCCCCAACGCACATACTAAAAAATTTAGTTTTTAACGACAATTAAAGCAAAGCAAAGTTTAAACTGCGTCGCTAACATTAATCAACAGAATCTTTACATGACCAAAACACAAGTCTTCCTTTCCTTTTGTTTTTCGTTACGTCAAATCAGTACATCAATTTTCGTGTTGACGCATATCTTAGGCCGTTTGACTAGAACTTGCAAATCTCAAACATCACATATGACTAGATAATAAATTATAAAGAGTCTAGAATAAAATCACAAGATACAAGTAATGCAACATCTGAATCAGTTTGTCAGCTCCACCGTATTTGTACTTTTTTTGGAAAAATAGAAAATTTCGAACTATTAATATGTATCTTTCATAATAATAAATATATGAAACTCGCTACATTTTCTTGTTAAATTAAACTTTCTCGTCAATAAAGGTACGAATCGTTTGGCTTTAAACTCTAAATTCTAATTATGTACAAAAACGAACCCCCCAATCACCATATTAGCGACCATCTTTTCTTTTTCGGTATGTGGTTGACCGTGATTTTACGCAATTTTTCCTTCGGTACCCCTTTGCGTGGCTTGAAGAGATTTACCTGTAGTCCGACTTTAATCTTCTTGGTGAGCGCTCCCTGGGGGAACACCGCTTGAACTTGTGGTACCACAGTACTTGACACCATCCCGCCCTCGGGCCCGATGGCGTGCACCTCCTGTCGTATCCTTGAGACCACGGCGAAATACTGGGGGAAGTCCTGGGTCACTATACGCGTTATCCTCCCGGAGGATATATCTTCCAGTTGGTTCAAATCTGGAAAGAGCGAGTTCATAAAGAATAGGGAAACTTTCGACAAGGTTAAAACAAACCTTCCGCCTCGAAACTATCGTGAAGAACTTCGTTAAGAACCTCTTCCGTAGCTTCCACCGTGTGTTCCTTCCAGGACTCGCCGTTGTCCGACCGGAGGATCACAATTTCGCGTTCTTTACCTCTCAGAGCTGCGAAATGAGGGACCTCGATGATTACGGGTCTAGAAAACTTGCGTTATTCATGGGAAATTCGTTTGGGTTGCTTTTACCCTAAGAATTTAGCTCCCACGGGACCCAATTCCAGGACTCGACTTGCCAGCGCTTCACCTTCCATGAGTGGAGGCGGATGCGGCGTTCGCTGGGGCCGTACGTATCTACAGGTTATTCTAGTAGGGCTTGAGGCACATCTTGGGGGGACAATCACACGAACGCCTGAGTGACGACAACCGCGCATCGCGCCACCTCTGGCGTCCACCAAGAAGGACACTAAGAAGCTGTCAAAAAAACAACAATTATTTAGTGGTTTATTCATTGCTATATATAGACATCCAGAATTAAGACAGTCAATTCGGCATGAGACCGTGTATTTGAGGTAGGCAACAACTGTTTTGGGAGATTTCGTAGAAAGTTGAAAATCAGGGTACAATGATTTTTTAAATTTATTTCCGTAACCATGAGGCTAAAAAAAATGTGTAAGAACCGTTTTTGTAGATAATATCATTATCCATAACTTTCATTAACAACCTTTTGGCATAGCGTTAGTAATTAAAGAGTTATGGGCGGAAACATTGAAAAATTAGGGGACGAGCAACTACAAAAGAACGAATTATGTTGTAAACTAGTTCGGGGTCAAAAATTGCTACCTAGCCAAAATGCACGGTTGTTTATTTGTTAAGGCCGGATTGACTGGACTACAATGTGCAGTTGGACAATGATATATGGAAAATTGGAAATTTTGAGGAAAGTCGGTGGAGGAGAACTGTGAAAGAACATAACTACACTGTGTAAACAGCAAACTTACTTCTTCCAGTGAAGTTTCCTGCAGCAAATTCAAAGATACAGAAACAAAGTTAGTGTTTTGTACTACGCGACAAAAATCCAAGGGACTTGGCAGTCGTGGACGTGCTAATTTCACACGTCCACTCCTGCTTGGTAAAAATATGAACTACTTCAAACAACTCACCCTATACTGATCGGATGTTTGTCTATATCTACGTTGTCAGGGGTGTATTTTTTGATATACTCCACATAGTTTTGTTGTACATGTTCTGGACTGATATTGTCTTCGATGTGACGCGGTGGCAACATGTTTTCGGCATTAGCAATAATTTTATTAGAATCTATCCTCTCGTCTCTCGTTACATCAATAGGTAACGAGTCATCGCCCAAACTTTTCATTTCATCCGCCGTCAGGTACCTGTAAGTTTGGTCACCCAAAACTGTGTCCTCTCCTGAAAATAACAACACTATGACTATCCAATCCAACTAAAAATTAGATTCTGTGTTAAGTACTTAGAAGGAAAGAATCAAACAAAAGTTAATAAATAGCGTGTCAGCTTGCAAATAAACCCAATTTTTGAATACAAACATGAATTGTGTTTGTGTGTAACAATATGGTTCTAGACTTACGGGTGAGCAAGGTTGTACCATTGAAATAGGGGAGGTACACGTGTCGTTGATGCGGAGCCGTACCGAATCCGTCCAAAATATTCTCCCCTGGTTTCACGATTAAACAATTCGTTAAATTTCAGTGAAAGTGTGAAGCAAATGAAAGCGATTTTGTATCAAAGCTGTCGAAGGGATTGGCCTCTTTTATCGTTTGTGACTAGAGACATTCTAAGAACTGGAATTGTAGCCGTTGTCTAGATCTATGGGCCTCTATGTAACTAAGTTCGGTTTTTTTTTTTTCAAAAATTGGACAATTTTCTATTTGCACTAGATGGTAATGGTTATGGTTATGAATGAATGATTGATGGATGTGACTGTTGTGATGACTAAAAGTCATGCACTAACATTGTCTGACTAAATTGAATAAGCACAAGAGCAAAGCGCATGCCCATAAACATCTAAGAAAAAATGATGGGTACAGCAGGTGTTCTAATCTAAGGAAAACACCTTACACTTCGTAATTTGGGTGGTCGTGACTTTATTTTTTAGCGACTCTTGCTGTCTCTCATTTATTGCTTGTTTAACTTACAAAGTTGATAAAGAATCGTCGTTCGTTATCAGTCTGTATCAACTTTGTGTAGCTAATGAGATAGCAAACACCGCACACTTTAGCTAATGTACCTTTACTAGACAAACATTACTCACCACCTTCTTCCTCTGAGTCAGACATAAACGTTTCGTGCATCGCTTCCGGCGCGACCACACGATATTTTTCGTCATTCGAAATGGGCGAAGCACTCGTCGGGGACGAAGGCTGCGTCACCACTTTGAGGGTATCGATCACCGTGATGTAACCCAGTTTCTCGGCGATGTGTAAAGGTGTTTGGCCATTCTGAAAAATCACACAATTCCCGTCTGGTTTGAAAACTCGCTCAAAACTCACATTAGTGACCGCATTGGGCACTGCGGAATTCTCTAATAGTGTGTTGACAATGTTAGTGTGACCCTGCTGAGCGGCTTGATGCAACGGCGTGTACCCCAGAGAAGTAGTAGCCTTGACGTTGGCACCGTTCGCAAGCAGGAACCGAACCATGTTAATCTGTCCATAATGGCAGGCTATATGGAGAGGCGTGTAACCGTTCTTAGTTGCCGCGTCCACTTCACCCCCATTTTTCACTAAAATTTCGGCCACTGAAACTTTGTCCTCTTGCGCACAGAGATGTAAAGGCGAGAGTCCGTTCCTGGCTCGGTGGTTCGTGTCGGCTTGGTGCTCAATCAGAAGGTCCGTCATATCACAGTGGCCTTCTTGCGCACTTAGATGAAGAGGTGTAAAGCCAGCCTGGGGAAAAATTATTTAAAATTAGTTTTTCTATTAAAGCTTGATGACTTGAATAGACCTAAAATGATTTAAGATATACCGCGTACCTTACTTTCCGCATTAGGCTTAGCCCCATACTCCAGTAAGGTATTGGCGATGTCCATTTGGTTCTTTTTGGCTGCTATATGTAGTGGCGTGTGCCCGTTTTTGGCAGTGGCGTAGGGTGAAGCTCCTTTCTCCAGCAGCAACAACGCGACATTCTGGTGGTCGTAGTGCGAAGCTACATGCAGAGGCGTGACTCCGTTTTTCCCTTGGGCGTCCACTGGAGCCTCTTTCTGTAGGAGAAGTTTTGCCACCTTCAAGTGGCCATACTTCGCCGCCAGATGGAGTGGCGTAAATCCCTTCTTGGTGGTCGCGTTAAGTGAAGCTCCGTTGTCAATGAGAGCTGCGGCGACTTCATCTTGGCCTTCCTTGGCCGCAATGTGGAGGGCTGTGTACATATCCTTCGTCGTGTTGTCGACTTGGGCGCCATGTTGCAGGAGAAGCATGACGATGTCGACATTTCCAAGACGAGATGCAATGTGAAGTGGGGTTTGCTGTTCGCGAGCTCGGGCGTCTACTTGAGCACCGTTGCGAAGGAGAATTCTGATTATGTCGGTCTGGAAAGTCGAAACGGGTTAGATTGTGGGATCGTAAGGTTATGAATATTTTACTTGATTTGCTCGGGCGGCTAAATGGAGGGGCGTTTCTCCTCGGACTGTAGGAACATCCGGGTCTGCTTCGTGCTGGAGGAGATAGATCACGATGTTCATGCATCCCATAAAACTGGCAACGTGGAGGGGAGTCAGGCCGCTTTCGGTCGTGGCACCAATATCTAGAAAAGTCAATAACATATTAGAAACGAATTGCGCACAATACAAAACAAAAAGGAAGCCACAAGCTTCCAAGATTCGTGTAAAATACTCATTCATTATTGTATCAAATGTCAGAAAGATACAGGAGATTGACAATGACAGCCGTGATGTAAATTGACAAAAACTTACTTGCTCTATGCTTGATGAGCAACTCAACGACTTTGATCCTATTTTTCTTGCAGGCTATGTGTAAGGGTGTAAAGCCGTTGAGGGCTCGAGCGTTGGCATCGGCTTGTCGGTCCAACAATAATTTGGCGACTCTTACATGGCCACAATGTGCCGCCACATGAAGAGCCGTCAGGTAATCCACGGTGACTTCGTCCACAGGTGCTCGGTGATAGAGGAGTATCCTCGCTGCGTCAACGTGATCACCTTGCGCAGCCATATGAAGAGGTGCTAACCCGTTCTATATACAAACAAACATTGTCAGTTTTGAAATCAGGTACTTCGAACTGAAGAATTACCCCCAGATTTCCACCTGGGGGGAGGAAACTGTTAACTTGTAGGTGGCTCAGAACAGACTCAGAAGAGGTTCTGTATTGAGGCCCCTACTTTTTTAATTTTGATTAATGACTTATCAGTCTATGAATTCGAGCTCAATATTGTAATCAGAACAACAGAATCAGAAGCTTTGAAATAGTTTGCCACTATAACAACCTTCGTCTAAATATAGACAAGTCTGTGACAATAGTTTTTTCTTCAAACAGATTTAAAAAACCACGTAACTTCGACAATACTATTTTCAGTATAAGTTCTCATGGAGATTCTTCTCCATGCAGCTCAATAAATTGCCGTAAATTACTTAACACGAAATGTTAGTTCTCAAGCTTTTTCTTGTGTTAGAACACGAAGTAAACGAAAAATGTCACGTGTATTGTAAGCGTACTCACTTTGGTTTTGGAGCTGATGGGCGCCCCTTTTTCTAAGAGCATATCCACCACCTGCTCATGCCCACTCCTCGCCGCACAGTGCAGAGGCGTCAATCCGTCCCTCGTCTTCGACTCGATATTCGCCCCCTGCTCCAGCAGGACGGTAACCATGTTGGTTTTGCCCCATTTGGCAGCTACGTGTAAGGGTGTGATGTTATGCTTGGCGGCGTAGTTGACATCCGCGCCTTTCTGCACCAACAAGTTGGCTATCGATTGATTCCCGTAGTGAGAAGCGATGTGCAGTGGCGTGAATCCAGACTTCGAGGTGACGTCTGGATTGTGCTCGTTCTCCAGCAGCAGCTTGGCGGCCTTGATGTCGTCCTTCTTCGCCGCGATGTGGAGGGCTGGCAGGCGCACTTTTCCCTTCGTGTCGTTCTCCAACAGGACCGTGACGACTTTGTCGTGGCCTTGTTGCATGGCCACGGCCAGTGGAGTGAAGCCGTCCTCTGTGGAGAGGCTCTGGTTGGCTCCATTGGCCAGCAGGTACCTGACGACGTTGTCGTGGTTTTCTTGCGCCGCCATGTAGAGTGGTGTGAAGCCATTTTGGCTTTGTACGTTGACGGAAGCGCCATGGGTCACTAGAAGCTTGACTACTTCTTCTTGGCCGGCTAGAGAGGCGATGTGGAGGGCGGTGTTGCCTTTTTTGGTGGCAGCATCAATGACAGCACCGCGTTTGAGGAGCTCTTCGACTATTTCTACGTGACCGTCTTTGGAGGCTAAATGTAGGGCGTTCAGGCCATTCTGGGAAGCGAAAAATGGAATATTTAACGGGCGAAAATAAACATTAAAATGAGCGCTAATAACGTTTTTAAAAATTTTTGAAATGTAGACAACCCATTTTAGAAACATTTCAAAATCATAACGATCAAGTTTACGTTGTCTCTAAATCGACTTTATAGATTCTCAATCGCTTCATTGAGGATTAAGGTGAATATTAAATTACTGATTGCCTGCGAAACACTTTCCCCGACGGGATGTTTGTTTTTCCAACAGGTTGGTATTCTTTCAACTGTGATTAATTCAACATTCCTTTAATCTGTTAAAATTCTTCGTGAAGTTAATTTAGTATAAAAGTCAATATTTACTACAAAACTCGTTCCGCTGTATCAACTGTAGAATATCCCGCTTTAATCGAACGTAGTCGTATCTAAAAAATGTATAAGATTTCGCATTAGAATTTAAACGATCTAAAAACAGTATACAATCCTTTGGACGAAATTAAAAAAGGCATGCTTTACTAATAAATGACTGTCACGTAATGCCTTTACTAAACATTACGTCAAAGTTTAATTTACTTTAGCAAATTTCGTTTTTATTGACTAGTTTTCACGATTCCCATACATAATCAAAATTCTCTTGTAATGTTGGTTGCATAATCAGCGAATTTTAGCAGTGCGTTGAGCTCTGGTGATAAAAAAAACCCTCGTTATAAGTAAAATATATACCGTTTTATGAAAAAAAGGAGGCAACCATGTGTAGAGATCTTCAGTTAGGTTGGAGCGGTTAGAGAATTAGGAAATGTTACTTTTCAGATTGGTAATTGGTTAGAGGTTGGCAATGCTGTTTTTGGCGGTCACTTCTTGTTTGTTGTGAGTGTAACCTCGTGGTGAACATTACGGGTTAAACTTAGTTTGTAGATTCATAAAATAGCAATTGTTTAAACGAAAATTAAACGCATCGACGCCACAGTTTTCCCCTCAAGAAGCGTAATTAATTACATATTAATCTTTTTTCTAATCTGAAATTTTGATGATGTCGTCAACACATCGTGTTAATTTTGTTCGGTTTTTGTAAATTTATAAACTCACAGTTGATGTTAAGGTTTTTAGCTACTCCTGGTTCTAATATTTACCAGTCATAAAATTGTTTATATAAACCACGTGTCAGGAAATTCATTTATTCAGACTTCAGTCTTGTTTATCACGTTATATCAAAGTTTCTGGATGTTTTACCTTGAAACTTCCATCAGTTAAATTCATACCCTCATAGAATCAAAAAATGGGAGGGCTTTAATATTTTCTTACAGGTTTAATGGTTTGTTTCAGGTCTAGTTATTTTCTTGTAGGTTTAATAATATTATTGCGGCTTGAAATCGAACATTTATTCCTCGACGGCGCTGTAGAACGTAGCGTTTCTGACACCAGTTTCTCGTGGTTTTAGCTCGTATTGAAGATGTGTTTTTTTTTTATAATGTGGGGTTTCGGTTCACGAGGAAATTCGCGAATACATTTTGATTTAATCAGTAACTCGAATTAACGCATAATTTAATCTCATTCTTTGTTGGTGGAAATTGTTTACAAAATGTAAGTCATTTTAATACTAATTCAGTGATCGTTATAAATGCAACCAATCAAAGATAAACTTTCAAAAATCCATGGCTATTAGTGGTGTTTTTTATAGCTCCCTCTAATTTGGGTCTAATAATAATTACTGACCCTAAATTTAATTAAGATGTCGCACGCAACATCTGTAAAAACTATCAAACAGAAATGCCCTTTTGTCACGATATTTAAAAGCTATCACAGTTTTGTTATTATTATTATACAGAGGGGAACAACTAGCCTACTGAAATTAAGAAATAGCTCTGTTATTCTGTGTTTTCCATTCTACTCCATGGCCCAATAACATCTTGTATTTTCAAGATTAAACTGTTATTCCGAAATCCCGTTACCCTAAAAATGCCATTGAATCACATCGAGTTTTACTATATCGAATACTACTATTTCAGATTGTGTACTCCTGAGCCCTATTATGACGCAATCTATTGTATCAAACTCTGTTAGACCGAATCCTGCAAGTCCCCATCCTATAATCCCAAAGCGTTCAAACAAGGCCGAACATCGTACAAAGACAAAGGTAAAGTTTGAAATTTTGATAGAGGATGCTCCAACGTTATAGACTTATTGATCTTCCTTGCGGAAGGATGATCTTAACCTTCATTCTATTGTTCCACTTCTAGTGTAAGTTTTATCAACGGAAGTAGTTCATCCTAAATTCTTAACATAGTCTGAGTTATCAAATTGCGTCCAATAAAATGACATCAAGTTTGAAAATCGACTATCTTCCTTTTTAACCTGAACCCGAACCAGTTATTTACAACAAAAAGTGCAATGAAAGTGTCTCTCCCACACAATACATTTAATGATCTAAATATAAACTTCCTCCATTAGATAGGTAAATTTAAGCGTAGTATAATCGAAGAAACGTGGATAATGATAAGTTATAGTAACATGCGAAACTGTGAAAGAAATGAAACAAAAAACAAATCTATACGACGGGAAGTAAAAAAAGTAACAAAGCAAAAATAAACTTTTAATGTTGATCTAACAAGTTTAAAAATAGTCGGGTTGAGATATGCTTGAAAATAACAACGTGAAATAAAAATTTTAACACGGTGAAGTTATCAAGAAAGAAATTTAACTGTTATAGAATATATGCGGTAATTTCCAACTCTCCAAATTTTACAAAATAGCTGCAAATGTGTTGTGCTTCTGAACACATCTCAGCTGAATGAAGTGGAAAATTTCAGCTGGTGATCCTGCCTTATGAATAATGTATCTCAGCTGTCAGCGTATTCTATTTTTAGCATCAGTCGACAATTTTGAGGTAAAACGTCATATAAATATTGTTAGCATGTCACAGTGACAATTAGTGTTGATGTAAAAACGTTTTCCTGGGATGCAATAGTGACAGAGCAGGATCACCAACTAAAGTTTTACAGCAGAGTCAACACTAATTCCCTTTTTTTGTCGATGATTCTTTACAATTAGTTAAACAATAGTTGATTCCAAAAAAATTGATGAAATTTTATATATACATACACAGTAGTGGTAGGAGATCAGTTCGTCATAACAATGAAAAATAAATCAAAATTGATATTCGAATCAGTCAAGTTCATAATATGGAATACCCCATCACACAAGAACGTAGGTGTGCGTTCTTTTGTTAGTTATTAGTATTACCCACCTACTAGATGATTTAAATATTTAATTAAAATTAAAGCCTAATGTGCGGTTAACCTATGAATCTGACAGTTTGATTGGTTGGATTTGATCACGTGATGAGTTAAATGCGTGATTCGGTTGATAGCGTCATTAAGGTGGCTCGTGTGTTTTGGCCATAAGGAGAACACGGGTTGCATTTAAAAACTATATACATCTTAGCGCCGTAAGCTAAGAAAGTTAAAATTTATTATTTTTCCGAAGCTATATTTGTTCAATTGTACTTTGAAGAACTGTGGTCAGAGACATCTAACGGCAATGAAACAAAAGAAGACACTTGCGGGGCCACCTTAAGCGCGTCTGTAAACCGTGTCTAGAGAAAATAAAGTTCTATCAACAAAAACGTTTTCAGTTTGCCTTGAGTGAGTAAGCTGTTTTCTCAACGTCTACCAGGAATGAGAAAGACAGCTAGAAATTCAGAGCTCCAAGTTTATGTTTATACAGGACTTGAGATTAAATTTACTGTTTAATTTAGGTTCAAATATCGTTGCCTTAAGTCTTACGTACTTTAAATTTATGACACGATCTCTGCCGTTGAAGACAAATCCTTAAAGCCCTTGTTAGTATGATCGTTCTTTTTAAACTTCAGAGAATTTAATTAGATAAAATCGTGCAGCTCTTATTACACCGAATTGTATACCTCGCTATGAATTAAACTAATTATAGAGTCAACAAAGCGTTCGATGTAGTGTAAAATGGGTTGCCTAACTATTTTTGAAAACTGACTACTTTATCCAGCTTTGTAAATAAAAAAACTTTAGAAAATTACTATTTATTTGTTTTCTCTGTCCTATATAAAATCAAAGGGAAACATCAGACTAAATAGTCCGCTCTTAAGTGAATAATCCCGAGTTCATGAAAACAAATTGTTTTTACGAGTCCTAAAAATAACTAAATAAAACGAACGAGTGTTGTTGCAAAGAAAATACTCACTGCGTTGCTGGTGTTGATATCGATATTTGATTCTAAATGTTCTAGGACTTTTTCAAGCTGACCATTGCGCGCAGCGCGTAGAAAAGACGTATTTCCATCAGTCTGAAAAGAAAAAGTCAATTAAAGCGAATTGTGTTAACCCAAAAACGGCTATAACAATAAAATATTGTAATTATGACCAGTATTAACGATTATAGTGCTATTAATAGGGTCGTAAATCATTTCCATTATTCCGTTTCGTATTTATGTTTATCATGTGTACACTATTTAAATTCTGTACATGTTGTATCTACATTGTATGGCTTACTATGACAAGATTAACTTTAATGAAATTATTACTATTAACCTTTCTTTTATCGCTATTCCACCTCACTCCCCCAAGCACCGTGAACTCAAAAAATGATTCACCGCAAACCCGAGACACAAGTGCCACTCCCATCTATTTACGTTAGCGCAGTATTTTTAGCACCCGATAAAATTTTCATTTCATAGGTAGGTCAGACGCACATTTTTCCGACGTATTCTCCGCATCAACTCGAAAAAATAGGTCGACTCTACTACAAACACATCTAAGCCTAACATTAGAACATCAGATAAATATTTGAAAGTAATCATGGTTGTTATCGACCACACCGCGACTGCTTTGTAATTATGGCCACATTTTCGTGACGTTTTCTCTACCAGAGGGAGTGAATGAAAAAATCGGCACGAAATTCGGCCATTTTCGGCCCCCCGTGATGTATTATGCACCCTCCGAATTTGAATAATGCAAAGTTCGTGCATGCGGAAGTGCAGTGGCAATGCACACCGGCACGAGCCCGAGTGAGTAACGGTGGGTATTTATTTAATGATTATATAATAAATGTAAAGGATCCAGCGACGCTGATGATTGTCACCCCTTTATGGTTAAATTTGTCAGTACTGTGTAGTGGCTGGAACATCGGTTTGGTAGTATCAGTCCTGTGTGGACTAGGCGGCAAATAGCACTTTCATATGACTGGCATAACCTCAATGAAACAAAGACTCGTTTCTTTATTAAAAGTCATGCACGAAATACAATGAAAAATTTATTTTAAAAGCTCTACCTTGACTTGTAAGTTGTTATCGCAGTGTGAAAAACTGTTTTTTCCATGTTAAATATAAATATTTACATAGCGAATCAACATACTACAGGAGCTACAACCTAAGTAAACAGTTTCAATTTTTTTGTCAAGAGTTAGGCTGACATTTTTACAACCACGGCAAGTCGATATTTGAATAATCCCACGACTTGCAAAGTGCCAACACAGAAAAATAGCTAAAATTTTATGCAAAACAAACACAGTCAAGTCAATTAAGCGGTCTTATCAAATGAGCTACATACAACATGTGAATAAATTTTGGCCTCTTGCAGCACGAAACTCGGTATGAGTGGACCAACACGGTTTGCCCCGTCCTTACAAAAAAGAGCGGAAATTGAAAAAAATTGCTGATGACGAAAACAGGAGCACGAACTACGGAAACAGATTGTATCGCTGTAATAAAGAAAAAATCGAAATATAAAGAATGGCGGAAAGAACATTCTATTAGCGGTGCCACAAAGGGGCTAGGCTCCTTGTGAGAATATTGGCCCACTTTATATCCGCCTTTTTCTTCGAAGCTATGATTTGTGTTATCAAATTTAATCAACGGCTGAATCGAAAAAGATAATCCAACTTGGAAAATGGTTTTCAGGAAGGTCAAATTTCGTCAGAAGACGTCAATGGGAGTTCTAAATGTCCCGGTAAATTTTTAAATGAGGCGAAACATTAGCCATAACCATATGGACCGTTTTCCATCTAGATTAGACGGAGCTGGAATTAGCTGTTAGCGTATGCATTTTTAAAAGGGGTGACATTCATATCAGTAATGTACATCGCTTGTCGTACGTCACATGAAAGAAACATTACCTTGAGAAATATAGGAAAGTTTTTCACACTAAATTATGGAAAATTTCTTTGTATGACCTAAAGACCTAAATTACGTTACAAAGAAAATGTTCAATTTTTGTCACTTATTCGAAATGTTCCAAATCTCTAAACGCTGGACCACCAAAAATTAGGCACATGTGTAAAAATCAGTAAAAAATCACTAAGACAAGCCCTAAAATCCTTTAAAAACTCAGATTTTTAGAAACATCAAAAGTATCTCAAGATGTATAGAATAGACTACCAAAAAATGGCTAGTAGGTATCACCAAAGAAGCCCCAAAAACCTAAAAATAAAAAAAAATCCCTTGTTCTTAGGCCAGAGCAATTGGGGCATGCAAAAATCATTGAAAAATAACAAAAAAAGTCTCTAAATCCTTTGAAATGCCACACTGAAAGTACCTCAAGAGCTATAGACCACTAAAAAATTGGGCACATGCAAAATCGCAGAAAAATCAATAAAATTAGACGTACAGTCACCAAATAATCTCTTATTTTTAAGCATGCTCTTGAACTAGTAATACACAAAATTGTTTATTCATCAAATTACTAATGAGTCTCCCTGTTTTCTTGAAAATAGAGAATGCGCCCGGCGATATTTAATAATGGTAAAATAATTATTGAAATTTGCGTTCCCGTGGCGCAGGGATTGGGGGGTGCTATTGACGCCGGTTCATCCATTCACCGAAAAGAATTGAGGGATTTTTATGACTTTGTTTGTCTAGTTGGGTGCTCAAGAAATAACATTTAGTGTACAACAAAAATGTATCAGTCGTACCTGCGGAGTTGTTACCATTTTATTTGATGTGTTTGTGTGACGAATAATTAGAGCACAATTTGTTGTATCCCTGTACCTAATTTGATTTGATTTGCACAACTGGTTCTCAAAGTATTTAACCGTTTCCATACATTCTAGAGATCCCGTTATGGTTATCAGAAAACAAACATTTTTCGGAATTCGTGCAACTGTACTTCAAGGGCAAGGGAAGTTCTGTCGAAGTAACCTTGAACCAATTTTTTGTTTAGTGAGTGCAGCGAAAATATGTATTAAAAATTAAGGGTACGTCTATTTTAGTTTTATAAAACGGGAATTGTTCAAACTAAAATGAATCTCATTCGACGCCACTGTCCCCCTCAACGAGTATAATTAGTGTAACATCAGTTTGTTAATGATTTCCTAATCTGAGATGTGTAAATTTTGACTATTCTATCAACATGTATAATTTTTGTTTTTGTTAACTACAATGAATGTTCATCTAAAAAACGTGGAGGAAATTAATTTACTCCGGTCTGAATTTATTTTTTTGTAATGATATGTCCTAAAGCTCTGGAAGTTTTTAGAATTTGATAAAAAACACTTTGAAATTTTTCATCAATTAAATTAATATCATCGTGGACTCGAGAACGGGACGGCTTTAATATTCCTTAGAGGTAAAAATATTAATTTAATGAATCATATACATATAATAAAAAATTTACATCAGGTTAATCGGCAGAACTTTCCTCACTCTTGAAGTACAATCAAACAAATCTGAATATCTGGTGTAAAAGCTCAAGGCTGATTCATAAAACACAAATATAAGAACATTTTTCAAATTTAAATAGCATTTATCAAGCAAAATTTTGATGAGATGTCAACAATAGGTATAATAGTTTCGGAGATTATCTATTTAATAAAAATTGACACAAACGACAGACGGGCGACAGACAGACGGAAACGGAAGACCTACTTTTTCATACTATAGGACAGTGAAAAGAGATAAGTAATTATACTTAGACAATCTTTTCCCCTTTTACCGTTCATAGATTAATAAAGTTTGTTCTCCATTAAGGCTGTGAATTGTTAAAGTGTCACCACGTTGCCCTCACTATTGAAAAATTAATAAAAATTTAAAAAACCTATAGTGGCAAAAATGTAATGATAGTTAACGAAAATTCAGCAAAACGAAGACCAAATTTAATTTGTCTTTAATTGCAAAGGCAGTTTTTGTAGAAATTTAAAAAGTATCAACTGAATTTAAATGACTGAGGCAATAAAATTAACCTTCAAATCCGTTATCTTTATAAAAATGGCTAGATTCAGTGTACAGTTATAGTACGACAAAAGTTGTCTGAAAGTTAATAATATAATAATCAAGAAACTTGTAAAAAATAGTTTTTTTTTTTAAATTTGCTGCTGTATCTTTACTTTCTTATTGAAAATCTAAAATGGATTCTTTTATAGATTAACAATTTTCAGTCTAAAAACATTTTTTTAATTTTACTGAGATAATAAAAAATGTTTTATTTTACATTTTAACAATTAATATTTATATAAAAAAAAATGCAAACATATGCAAAATTAGTTCAACATTGAAAACAAATTAAATATGCAAAATATGCTTTTAGGTGTGTTTCAATTCGTACACAACATAATCCATGTAATCTCTATAAAGGGTTATTCACATAATAGGTACTAAGACTAAAGAAATAATGAAATCAGTTAGAACGGAGGTTCTCCTTTATATTTACTTAATATCGTGAAAATGAGGGTTCATCCCAGCCCTATTCATTAACACGTCCATCCTCCTGAATATTACAAAGTTGTAAAGTAATAAACATTAAAACTTTCCCCTTCTCCCAAAACTTCGGACGCCGTCCCTGTTCTATTTTAGTAGAATACACATATTATTCAAGAACAAACCTCTACCACAGCTTTCATACATCAGCGTAGCACAATAAGAATGATTTAATATTCAAAATAAACAAAGCGGACTTGAAAAAAGAAAAAACACAAAGAAGAAATATTTTTCCCTCGTGTTTAATAAATTTAAGTATTCACACATTATGAAATCTTAGCAAAGATAGGAAAAGAATATTTTGACTTGTTATTTTACAAAGCTTGAAGTGAGGCTATTAAACGCGGAATTGTACAACTTAACCTCACTTTTTCGTATAATAAAGCATTGTCAAAATATATTTCAAAATTTGTACATGCAGTTGCATAATTGTAAGGATGACATCACACATAAACACCATGGTTTTGTTAGCTTGTTATTTTACTCAATTAGCACCGTACTAATTCACATGAATAGCTGATATTCTAGGTAGCGCATTATTATTTTTGCAGCGTTGTTGGAACGTGATCTAATTCTATTTTGTTTTGCATCCTGTGCTT